GACATTTCTCTGTAATTCAGGCCATCTTTTTATTGCAGAGATCTTCTTGTGATTTACCTTCCTTGATTGTTTTTGGCCTTGTGTCCAAACACACCAGGGGGGATTTTTTGGTGGGTTAATTCTAGCCATTCTGATTACTGGCTAAGCTACTGAGCTAACTGACACTGTTTCAGAAAACAGTCAATTTTAGTAACGATTTGTTGAAGTCCTCTGTGTTGCTCATTAGCTGGTGTCAAACTGTCCTTTCTTCAGTTTTCATTAAAAAAAAAATCATAGAAAATATTTGTAGAAAACAATAATTGAGGTATAAAAAAGCTCTCACTCTCCAAATTTTTGTCCAATATAATAGCCTAATAGCATATTCTAAGGTATCCTGATGTAACTTAAAATGTCACCTTTCCTTCATTATCAGCTCTTTTTCCCTGAAATCCCAGAGATTTTAAGGCCAATGATTAGTTTCCCCAGGTTAAAAGATTCACAGAGAGAATATTTTAATCCTGTTTTCATTGCTCTTAAAGGCTGCAGAATATTTATGTTAATCAACCAGATGATGTATGGAGGCATTACAAAGGTATTTACAGTTGGATCCTTGAGAGCACAGTAGCTGTTTGAAGGACAATATTTTACCTCAGAAAAGACTTCAGGGCTATTTTCATTGAGGTTTAAACCATATATTTCGTTGACCCCACATGTAAAGCAGGAGCAAATACATTGTCACCCCAGAATGAGCCTGGAGACAATTTTATGTTATATTTTAAGGTCCAGCTAAATCCTCCGGTGCTGTTGACTATTAAAGAAATCCTTGTAAAACCTGTAAGGATATATCGTGTTGATTTTACTTTCTGCTCTTCATCTAAACAGTTGACAGGACTTTATGAGGCAATGACCTCTATAAAAGCCCTCCATGGGGGACATAGAAGAAGCTATTTCACTTTAAAATTGATCACAAAGGTTTCATTTTACATGTGAGATAACTTTCAATTGAATTTGCATTTTCTGACTGTGCTAACTGATCCTATTTGTTTTTGGTCTCTATTGGCTAAACATTTGTTTTCATCTTGGTTTTTTGACTGGTTTATTAAAATTATGAATTGAATTGCAGTGAAAACTAGCAGGCAACACTTTAAAATAGGGTTCAGGAGACCAATAAGTTTAACTTAATAACTTAAGTGTTTTTTTGCAATGCAGGTAAGTTAGAAATAAGTAAACCTTAAGGGTCAGCTAATACAAAAAATAAAAAATAATAATAGCTAGAAAAAGCTGTTTCGGAGAACCAGCAAATTGGGAATGCTTTTTTCTGCTGAATTAAAAAAGAAAAACTAGCTAGAGAAACTGAATAAAGGAAATGAAAACAGAAATTAGGTGAAGAACATTTGAAAATGTGATAGGAAGTAATCAGAAACTTAAAAATGCAGAAAAAGTTGAATTAACTGAAGATTTTGTAGGGTAGAATCATTTGGCAGAATAATGGCAGAAACAGACTCGTCTTAAAAGCAGAACATTTCGTGAAATTTGATTAACTAAAAGAAAAAGCCCAAAAATATTTGTTTACCTTGAAGTTGACAGAAATTTAAAATTATAAATATTCTTTAAAAGACAAAGTCCTTTGTAGAAAGAAAGAGCTAAATTTGCAAAATGCAGAGGATGTGAAAACTGCTGTGTTGAACTATGATTAATACATCCAAAACTGTAAAAGATACAGAAACATTTTTCAGATCACAAGAATCAGCTATTCATGTTGTCCATGAACAACAGTGCCAAGTTTCATGTTTCCTCAAAAGAGGACGTGGCCATGGTGAAGATATAAAAAGGTGAATTTTGAACGATTTTGGTTTGAAAATTTACTGTTTTGAAGCCCCTGAATGACGTAGAGGCACAGTCAAACCATAAATGGTATCTAAAGCATAACCATGAAAATCAGCAGGCTTTAAGGAACGATTATACCAACCTTTCTACAAAAAATTATGTTGCCATGGTAATGCTGTAAAGGGGGTCATTTTGAAAGATTTCAGTTGGAAAATTTGACTAATATGATGAACCCAGTTTGGCTGTATGGCCAAACCAAACATGACATCAAAAAAAAATGGGACACTCTGCATTACCATAAATTATAATGCAGTGTGATCGTGACCCTAGTTGGTAGAAAGGTGTGTTACTGTGCCTGTACTGGGTTTCAGACTCTATGGCTGTGTCCAAACATCTGCCCTAATCACTATATAGTGCAGTATTTAGTGGTTTACGCCATTTTAGATAAGAGCTTGAAGTTTTAGTGGATGTAGTGGGCTCAAAATTTCCCACAATGCACCTTGATAAAGAGTGATCATCCATGGTCACTAGACGAGCAGATATTTTTTTATATTATTCTTTTGTTCTCTGCCCCCCTGAAAAACAAAAACTGGCCCCATCCTCTGGTAAAGCTCTTCCAGGACCACCGCTGTCTCCATCAAAAAGGAAAGAAGAGCAAAACTTTGTCTTGGTGCTCGAAGCTAAAAATAAAGGCGCTAAAATTGAAAGGCCAAAGCAAACACGGCAGCCAACCAGAAACACAATAGCTCCAACAGTTATTTTACAGACAGATTCCACTATTATAAGAAATTATATAATATGTGCACAAGATGAGGAGGAAAAAGCCTTTGCCTTTTAAACTATTTAAAAAACAAGCATTAAAAAACTTTTAAGAACCATTTAAAATTCTACTAGGGCTGTATCGTAATGAGTCCAGATGTGTAATCATGCCAGTTATGCGATACTAAAGGACCGGATGCTAGCATAATTTCCCTGTATCAGACAGTTGGACTATTTATTAGCTGTCAAACCAATTGATTCAGTGTGTATAAAAAGTAGAGGGTATTACTTTGGTTTAATTACCCTTAAAATAGTTATAGAATGTTAAATAATTCCCTAAACAGTCAATACACTCTATGTGTAGTAACATATTTCCTTTCATGTTGACGGAAACCCGGCTTTGTGTGGATTAGGTTTATCCTGTTGAAACTTCCTTTGTTGTCTTTGAAGTATTGACAGTGGTGAAAAGCTGAGGGAAGGGAAATAAGTAAGAAGTTACATTAGAGGGAAGAACACAGTAGGGGAGGCAATCAAAGGAATTGTTTCTTCCTCTGTAATTTCATTTATGCCTAAAGGAATTTAGAGCTATACTAGAAATGTAATCAAAACTAAAGAAATTGATGCAAAATGATATGATGCTTGGAGAAGAGTCTGTGAATAACTGCAAACTGGCTGAGTTAGGGGAAATTACGAAAACTATAAAAATGTAGGTGGGAAATTAAGATGGAAAAAAACTGCACAAGTTTGGTTATTCTGGGGAAAAAATGAATCAGCATTGCTGTTTTTTGCTGTTTGTTGAATAATGCAACTGCAGAAAACACACAAACAGAGGACGGGGTCTGCATTTCACGCTGGGACAAACACAACAAGAGACTTGTTAGGCTAGAACATCAGCGGCTTTGGAGACGGCTGCTGCGGAAAGCGGGAAGAACTTCTCGTGAAAATGCAAATTTTACTCAATGCTGCATTTGAATAATCTTAGCGGCCTGTGAGAGACAACTATGGATACGTTCCGTCAGTTCTGTCTGTTGTTCACGCCAATAACACCTCACAAAGTCTTCCATTCCTCTTTGTGTTTGTACGAGTGCGTGATCCCACCCCGTCTTTGTAGAGCCAAACTTCTGACAAGAGGAGGACGAGTTGATGCTCTGAGTGAGAGCAAAGTGAAGCTGACAAAAACAAGCTGTAAAGTTAAGTTAGGAGAGCCGTATCCCAGTAAAACACACACGCAGAAACACGCACACACACTTGATTTCTTAGGCGTGTGACCTTTCACCCATTTTCTACCACAGCAGATCTTGGTATGGAGATTTTTTGTTTTCTTAAAGGACTTCTGAGTGCCATGCCATAAAAACAGTGTGTCATATCTAATTTTCACCTCTGAAGTCCTTTTTGAATGTCAAATCCATTTCATGAATACAAATGCCTCTCCAAATGTTGGAGGGTGGGGAAATGGAAAGTCCATCACAGCGCAAATGCTGAGGCTGAAAGGTAATGAAGAAAATAACAAAACTTTTAACAAGAGGGCAACATTTCATATCTGGTTATTTTAGTTTTTGACTACAGCTGGAAGTTCATTTCAATTCACTCCAATTCACAACACAGGTAATCTCAGGTCACTTTCCAGTTCACCAGATCATCCAGTCAGATTGATTTAAAGTTTTCTGATTGCATCGACTCCTTGACTCTTCAGCAATCCCTCACACTAAGCATGCTTGTAGCGACAGTGGAGAGGAAAAACTCCCTTTTTACAGGAAGAAACCTCCAGCAGAACCAGGCTCAGTGTGAGCGGCCATCTGCTGAAACTGACTGGGGTACAAGGAGAGGATGGAGAGAGGGCATCCAGGTAGTCTCAGTCAGAGACTGAAAATTGTCCAGATATTCTAAAATGTTTGCCATACTATCATTTCATAAATATATAGCTCACTCTGTTCACAAAGGCTTCCCAATAAAGGTAACTATGCTTAACTTTTAAGCCAATTATTTGCTTAAATTAACATATATTACAAACTTTTCAGTAAATGGACAGCACTAAGGACCTATCCAAGCTCATTAAAAAAATCCTCTCTGCAACTTCAAAAGGCCAGATCCTTCACTGAATAAGTCATGTGACCCAACCAAATGACACATAACAGGACGTTTCTATTGTTTTCAAAAACATTGGAACAAAATTCCCTCCATTATATGCTCTAATAAGTGGACTTAATTCTCTATAATGATTCTTATGCTTGTTTTAGGTGTGATTATTTCTACAGGCTGCATTCTTTGGTTCCCTTCTAGGCCACATTTACTTCTAACTCCTTTCTTAACATTTTTGAAACACATCAGGCATAGCTGTACTGGTTCTGAGCCATTTTCATCTGCAATAAAATAACATGTACAGGTTTTATCATTCTTTTGAATATGTCTTTTCTCTGTTTGTGCACACTCACCAGCACGGAACTGCTCTGGCCTCAGAACCTGCTCCGAGTGTCTGGGGAGGGTTGAGTGCGGCTGGTGCGGCGATCCCAGCAACACCGGTAGAGGGGTGTGCATGGAAGGTTCCTACCGGGGCCCCCTGAAGCCCACAAACTCAAGGTTTGGGTCCAAAGTGCGCGACCGGGACATGGTGGTGGATCAGAATCTCTGCTCATCTGACAGAGGCTACAACTGGGCCTTTATCGAATGCCCTGGTGAGTGGATGTTTTCACCACACTGCACAGGGCTGCATCTATAAACACGCTTTCTTTCTTCTTTTGACATCAATGAGGTGCTGAGGTTCGTCACATTAAAGCTTCAGTTTTAAATCCTTGGATGTTGATGTGATCGACCAGCACAAAAAATGGACAGACAGTAATTAGTGATGGAGGGAAAGGATTCATGGTTTTTAAGGTTTTGTAAAAGTAAAATCTCCACTTGCACCCATTACCCGGTGAGCACAGTTTGGATCCAAGTTTGGTTTTAATTACAGCTGCAAGTCTTAATGAGGCAGCTTTACATCCAGAAACAATGTCACTCAGATTGGATAGTGTGGTAAATTACAAGAGACTTCTTATTCCACAGGAAGGTGGTTTATTTTTATAACATGAACAGCATACAGCTTCACACGGACTTTTCTTTTCTACTCTCTTTCTACTGCCCGCACTCTTCTTCTACGGTCCATAACAATACCAACAAGTAACAGCGCTTCCTAGTGGGCATGTATGTATTACACTTAAACTCCACAGTTACTACACCCCTCCCCTCTTAAGCATTAACAACCAAACTTTAACTGTTCCACTAACAAGCTTATCTTTCATTTAGCTAACTGGAAATCTTTAAGGTAACTAGGCAACCTTATTTGCCTTTTCGATTGTCTCTTAACTGGAGTTACACTCTTTTCAGTTCCTTGTTCAGTCTCTGGGTTTTTCACAGCTTCCACAGCCATTGGCTCCTCCAACTTCTCTCCCCCGAGAACGACCTCCTCAGCTTCCAGCCATTCTTCATTTTTTTCTTCAGACCCACTAGAATTAACAGGGTCAACCGGTTTGTTGCTGTTGCATTTTTCTGGTTTCGGGTAGTGAGTGTGAATCTGATCCACATGTCTCCTCACTATCCTCCCATCCCCAAGCATCACTTTGTAGGACACCGGTCCAGTCACCGACTCAATGATTCCTACTGCAAAAACAATCCAGAAATAAGTAAAAAATGGCTTAAATTAAGTATATTTAGCCTTAATTTGAGCAGGTAAATAAGATGATTTGCCAATGGAATGAGTATTTTCACTCTTAAAATAAGATAGTTAGATAATATTTACTTGAAATAAGACGATAAAATAGTTTTTTCTTATTTTAAAAGGAAATTGTCTTGTTCCATTGGCAAAGTGTCTTACTTACCTCCTCAAATCAAGGAAAAACACACTTATTTTAAGAAAAAATAACTTATTGAGATTTATATTTTTTGCAGTGCACTTTGGGCCTAAACTGAAGTTCTGGGTCAACACTGAGTCTCCTGTTTTGAACCAACGTCCCTTCGCTTTTTTATTGTGATCTTTCATCTGTCTTTCTTGGTTTCCTCTCACTCTTTTGCTCAGATCTGGGTGAATGGAATCTAATGTACAACGTAGTTTCCTCCCAAGAAGTAACTCTGCTGGAGATAAACCAGTTGTAGTGTGAGGAGTAACCCTGTAGCTAAATAACACTCTGGCTACTTTGGTTGTCAGGGTGCCCTCTGGACATTTCTTCATCATTCTCTTGAATGTTTGTACACCTCTCTCTGCTAACCCATTACTCGCTGCATGATAAGGAGCAGAGGTTACATGGCGAATGCCATTTTTGTTCAGGAAGTCCTTGAATTCCATGCTTGTGAAACAAGTGCCATTATCCGATACCAACAACTCAGGCAAACCATGGTTACTAAAACTGGTTCGCAGGCACTCAATTGTAGTGGCTGAAGTAGCGGAGCTTACTGGATACACATCCATCCACTTTGAATAGGCGTCAACCAGCACAAAAAACATTTTCTCCATAAACGGTCCTGCATAATCCACATGTATGCGGCTCCAAGGCCTATCAGGCCAATCCCATGGATGCAATGGAGCGGGTGCAGGAATGTTGCGGTGCTCTTGGCATGTGGTACAGCTCTTTACAGTGTCCTCCACATTTTTGTCCAACCCGGGCCACCATACATAGCTCCTAGCCAATGCCTTCATTCTGGACACTCCTGGGTGGCACTGATAAAGCTGCCTCATAACCTGTTCTTGACCTGGTTTCGGCACAATCACCCTCGAGCCCCACAACACACACTCGTTCTGTATACTGAGTTCATGCTTCCTTACTTCGTAGGGGGCAAACTCCTCCCCTTCCAGCTTTGATGTCCATCCATTTCGCACCATCTCCCGCACCCTCGAGAGCACCGGGTCTCTGTCCGTCCATTCTTTTACTTGATCAGATGTCACCAATGTTATGTCAGCGCTCTCCAGCATGAGTACTGTCTCTTCCCGTCTCTCTACTTCTGCTTTCCCGGGCAAAGGAAGGCGGCTTAGGGCATCAGCATTACAGTGATTTTTTCCTTCCTTATACACTATTGTGTATTCATAGGCTCTCAATGTTACTGCCCACCTTTGGATTCTAGGGGAGGCCATCTGTGGTACGGCTCGCATCTCACTGAACAGAGACAACAAAGGTTTGTGATCTGTTACTATAGTGAATTTACGTCCATAAATATACTTATGGAACCGTTTTATTCCAAACATCACAGCTAGTCCCTCCTTATCCAGTTGTGAATAGTTTTTTTTCCGCTGTGTTCAATGTTCGTGAGGTGAATCCTATGGGCCTCTCAGTTCCATCTGGCATGTGATGTGACAGCACCGCACCTACTCCATAAGGTGAGGCATCACATGACAGCACAATGTCTTTCTCTGGGTCGTAATGCACTAGTACTTGTGCAGACTGCATCATTTCCTTTGATTTTTCAAAAGCAACTTGCTGTGCTTCTCCCCACTGCCACCTCTTGTCTTTTTGAAGCAGTTTATGCACTGGAGCAAGAATTGTTGACAGATTGGGCAGGAACTTGTTGTAGTAGTTTAACAGTCCTAAATATGCCTTCAACTCTGTCACATTCGAAGGTGTAGGTGCCTCTTGGATTGCTTGCACCTTCTCATGAACTGGGTGCAATCCGGTTGCATCCACTTTATGACCCAGGAACATCACCTCCTCATTCATAAACAAACATTTTTCTCTTTTGAGACGTAGACCAGCCTCCTCCAGCCGTTCCAGCACCATGGCCAGCGTCCGCAGGTGATCTTGGTCATCTTTCCCTGTGAGCAGGATGTCATCCAGGAAAATTGCCACCTGGGGAATGCCCTGCAGCAATCCCTCCATTATCCGTTGGAATATCGCTGGGCTGGATGATACCCCAAAAGGTAGTACTTTGTATGTGAACAATCCCTTGTGCGTGTTTATGGTCACATACCTCTTTGCTTCCTCATCCAGTGGAATCTGGTGATAGGCGTGACTCAGATCCAACTTTGTGAACTATTGTCCACCCGCCAGCGTAGCGAACAGGTCCTCAATTCTGGGAATTGGGTACTGCTCCAACTTGGATATTTGATTTACTGTCAGTTTGTAGTCTCCGCACAGTCTTACTGTCTCATCTGGTTTTAACACAGGAACAACAGGCGCCGCCCACTCTGCATGTTTTACTGGTTCAATGATCTCTTGGGCAAGGAGACGATCCAGTTCCACCTCCACTCTTCCTCTCATGGCATAAGGAACAGGCCTAGCTTTAAAAAATCTGGGGACTGCTTCCTTGTCTATGTATATTTTTGCTGGGGGGCCTTTAAATTTCCCTAGTTCTTTATTAAACACCTCCCCGTATTTTCCCAAAACCTCCTCTAAAGTTTCCTTTCTAACATGGTGGATTTTGGTTTCTGGACTCCCCTGTACCTCTACTGGTTTCCCCTCCAGGATGTGGTGGACTTGGGGGGTTGATCTCCACTGTAGGCCTAACTTTTGAATCCAATAACGACCAATCAGACTGGGGCCTGACCCTGCTACGACTACTACCGGTAAGTCATGCACTCGTCCCTTATGATGCACCTTAACTAGTGCTGCTCCCACAACTTTTACTCTATGACCAGTGTAGGTTTTGAGTTGCACTTTACATGGGTGTAGCTTTGGTGCCTCTTTCCCCCTCAAGGTATTGAATACGGAGTGGTTCATTACTGTTACTCCGCATCCTGAGTCCACTTCGAACTGAGCGTCCGTCTCATTAACTGTTAGTGTCTCTATGAATGGAGCTACCGCTGGTACGTCAAGTTCATCTATTTTGTACAATGTGAACATGACTCTGCATCCATGCTCTCTTTGTCGTCCTCCCTCTGGCTGACGTAATGGGCTCCTTGTGTTCTCCCTTGTCTACTTGTCTGCCCACCACCCCCTCTAGTCTTCGACTGACCAGCTGGGCCTTTGGACCTACATACTTTCTTAATGTGGCCAATTTTTCCACATTTGTGACAGGTTTCTTTAATAAACCTACATTCACCCGCTGTATGGTGCTCACCTCCACATCTGTAGCAACCTTTATGCTGGAGCTGCTGCCGACCTGGGGTCTGTTTTGATGAAATTTTATGCACCACTTGCGGCGTCCTCCCATGTGATGCTGAAAAATCCAAAGATTGTAAGTCTTTTACATCTTTGCTGGCTGTTTCAATCGCCTGAGCTAACTTCAACGCCTTGTCAAAGCTCAAATCTGGTTCGGACAACAGTCGGCGCTGAATGCGGTCATCTCCGATGCCACAGACCAGTCTGTCCCGTATCATCTCCGACAACTTATCTCCATAATTGCAGTCTTGCGCCAATTTCCTCAGGACAGCAACATATTCCATGACTGTTTCACCATTTTTTCTGTTTCTGGAATTAAACTTGAAACGTTGCACAATCTCACTGGGTTTTGGGTTGAAATGGTCCTTTAATAACTTGACCAGCTCATCGAACGTCTTGTCTCCTGGCTTGGCGGGGCTTACCAGATTTCTCATTAGGCTATACGTCTGACTGCCCACTGCACTGAGCAAAATAGCTTTCTGCCGACCTGCATCATCGATCTCATTAGCTTCAAAAAAATGGTGGAGCACCTCACAATATTCCTCCCACGTCTGGGTTTGGGAATCAAAAGGAGCGGTACTTCCTACCATGCCCGCCGCCATGGTCCTCTGTTGATTTCCACGTCCGTTCTTCTTCTTTTTTTTTTAAACTTTGCAATTTAGCCGAGAGCCTTGCTCATTTGTCTGCCGAGGAATCCGCTGTGCCTTTATCCTCGGCTTGACTTTATCCTCGTCGCCATTTATGTGGTAAATTACAAGAGACTTCTTATTCCACAGGAAGGTGGTTTATTTTTATAACATGAACAGCATACAGCTTCACACGGACTTTTCTTTTCTACTCTCTTTCTACTGCCCGCACTCTTCTTCTACGGTCCATAACAATACCAACAAGTAACAGCGCTTCCTAGTGGGCATGTATGTATTACACTTAAACTCCACAGTTACTACAGATAGAGAACTTCTTTTAACATTGGTTTCCAGGGATTTCCTTTGCAAGGATTTCTCAGACTTTGAGAATCTGACTGCTGTTTTAACACAGACATAGATACTTTTATTATCAATTATTCCATCTACTTCTTAGGAGTGCAATAATATTTCCATCCTTATGAATGCACCCATTCATTGGGTAAAATATCAAATGTGAACAGCTAATCTGTTTTTATCGTTTCTCTATTCTGAAGAATAGAAATGTTTTTATTTCAAAGACCTGGGTTGTGTTGTAGATTGGTATGACTGTATTAGATGGACATATATTGCATCATATTGTTTGCAGATTTTTCAACTGAATTAAATCCAAATCATATCAGGAAGTTGTGTGAAATCAGAACACATTGTTTAGTCATGTATCGTATTTGAATATAGCTGCATTGTTACCGCATCGTAGTCCATTCTTCTCTGCTGCAGCTCGTATCCAGTTTGTTGTCAAGAGTTTAGGTCCTTCCACTTTCCTAACTACTCCAGCTGCTTTCCCTGTCCCTGCTAAATATATATTTCCATTTATGTGAATAAATAAAAGGGAAATAAATAGATTTGCATGCTAAGCTTACAGATTTTAAATTGCAAAATTGTTAAAAGCCATGTTGAATTTACCTTTCATTTCATAATTATGTGCAGCTTTATCAATCACATAAACTACTAACAGGGTACGATGACGTTTTACTAATGAGAAAACCACCAAACAGCAAAAACTGATCTAAAAGTAAGTTAAAAAAATAATTAATAAAAGTGTATTTATCCAGAATTATAGCAGGGTAGCAGGCTGACCTTCAAATAGAATATTTTTTCCTTAAAAATTATTATTCACTTTTTAATAAAATATTTTATTTAAGTGTAAATAATATAAATGCTTCCTCCCACAGTCCAAAAACATGACTGTTAGGTTAATTGGCTTCTCTAAATTCTCCTTAGGTGTGAGCGTGAATGGTTGTTTGTCTCTGTGTTGCCCTGCGATGGACTGGTGACCTGTCCAGGGTGGACCCCGCCTCTCCCCCGTAGACAGCTGGAGATAGACACTAGCACCCCTCACCACCCCGCTTGTTAAAAAATGGATGGATATAACTGCATTGGCAAACTGTCTTACTCACCTGCTCAAATTAAAAGAAATATCGACTTTATTATAAAATATTTTTATTTTCACAGTGAAGATACCAAACTACCAAATATGCAGTAAATGAAAAGGTTTTATTAAAATACTGTAAATTGGCTTGATTTCAGAAGGTAAGTAAAATGATCTACTTAAGGAATAAGATTTTTGCACTTATAATAAAAAAGAAATCTCCATTATCTCTTTTTAATTGAAATATTTACATTCAAATAGAGGTGAAAACACTCATACCGTTGGCAAGTCATTTGCTAAAATAAAGGAGGAGATACACGTATCAAGGAACGTTTACTTATTTCAATATCAGTTTTTGCTGTTTTTCTTTTGTTTCTTAAAGGAATAGTACACCCAAAACATGATTAGCCTTCATTTTCTACCTTCATGAAAGTGCGCATTCAGCTCGGCAGAGAACTCATGCTCTTCCTCAACACTGAAGTCCTCAGACATTTTTCTTTCGTTGTTTCTTTCTTTGCACAGGTAAACAGCACATTTCTTCTTCTACGCTTGCATTATCGGCAGAGCAGACGCTGAATGCGCACTTTCATCTGGTTTGGTCTGCCGGCTTCCATAGCGTCGTGATCGCGCATGTGCACGCTTTCAGGAAATCCTAAACACTACTGTTTATGCTCTAAAAACATTCTAAATGACTTAGTTTCGAGTAAATTCTGGATGCTACCCACTCAGGACACTTGGAATACATTGGACGAGCAGTATGGAGGAATATTGACACGTTTTTTGTGGACTTTTATGGACCTTTCTGTCTCGGGCGCCATAGACCTCCATTATTTGAATGTCAGCAGACAGCAAGAAGCCTCCCAGATCTCCAGATGCATTTGAGATATCAAAAAAGTACTCCAGAGTGTTGTTCAGCATGGGGGTGAGTAGAAAATGAAGGCTAATCATATTTTGGGTGTACTATTCCTTTAACTTCAAACATATGGTGTGAATTCTGTTTCAATATTCTTACAAGCAGATGACATTTTCTGTAAATAGAAATTCAAAAATTTGTGCAAATCAGAAATTAAAGTTGGGAGATCTTTGTCAAAAATGTTTTCGAGTAACTTTGCTGTTCTGTTGATCTTATAATAAAAAAGTTTTACTTTGCTGATTTTATCAATTCATATTTTTTTACTGAATTTATACAATCTAATTTTATTTTTGAAATTTCACTTTTTTATAGGTTTCATTTTGTGAACTCAAATATATATATATATATATATATATATATATATATATATATATATATATATATATATATATATATATATATATATATATATATATATAAAAAGGTCTTTTAATTTTACTCTTAAGACCTTTTTTATCATGAGGAGTTTGAACATTTTCTATATTTCCCACTTTGTTTTTACAAAAAGCCTTCTTCGCCAGCAGCAATAATGGAACAAAATTCCCTCCATAGAAACATGCAGGTTCTCCAAAACAATCCAGGTAGAGAGGAACAACAGCCCAAACTTTTAGCAACAGATCAAAGTAACAAATGAAAGCAAATTATTTCCGTCATGTGGCGGCTAATAAACCAGCGATTGTGTGTGTGCTCTGCTTCCAGCGTGTCAGTGTAACGGCCACAGCAGGTGTGTGAACAGCAGCGTGTGCGAGCACTGTGGGAACCTGACAGCAGGGACACACTGTCAGACCTGCATGCCTGGTTATTATGGAGACCCCACCAATGGAGGGAAGTGTAACGGTAAGTTCTTTCAAAGCCTTTGAGCTAAAAATGGGGTTTAATCATTGCCAGATCTCAACAGGGACTGTTATCAAAATAAAATTCCTTTTCACATCAAAAAAATGTATACTCCTCCTCTAAAACTATTTAAAGTCTTTTTTTTTTGCCCTCTACAGCTTTTCTTAAAACAGACATTGTAATAGTAGCTGACAGTCTGATGAGGGCAGTGTTTAAAAACCTTGGGATCCTGGTTGCCTGTATTTTAGATCAGAAAGTGGAGCTGCATGCCGTCAGCAGAGTGCTGTGAGCGCATTGTGAGCAGAACAAGACGCAGCAGTGGAGCTTTGGTTGGTGTCATGTGGAAAACATTACACCCTAAAGAACAAATGTGTGTGCTGTAATTTAAGGGGTCATTTGGGGGGACGGCTTGTTCCTTGGTGGAGCACAATGAGTAGAGAGCAGAGAGAGGAATGAATGAGTGAGCAAGTCAGTGCTGTTGAAGGCAGGCAGAGGTGTGGGTGCATTGCTCTTTCTGTGACTGATGTGCGTTTTGGCTTGGTGGTGGCATGACATTAAATCGCTCTTAATCATTTTCTTATTTCCTGACTTCCCTGGTGGATTTTCACAGCGAGTGTTCAGCTGATGGATGCATGCCACCGCCGTCTCCTCTGTACCCAACAGCCGATCAGACGCTCTCTTTGCTGCTTTGCCTTCATTTATATTTTCCTTCTTTCTTTTAGTTTCTGCTGTTTTCAATTCCATTATAATTTTAACAACTTTTCCTACATTTCTCCCTATTTTCTAATTATTTTATAACAAACAATTGGAAAAGAATATTCTTTTGATTGTTGTACTTAATTATAATGTTGCTGACTTATTCTGACATACTGAATGGAAAAAGCTTCCTGGATGGGAAGCGAAATGTCTTAAACTTGGAATCAACGTCCAGTGGATTGTTTTTGTTTTTGTGGAGTAACCTGACTTTCCTTGCCTTTCACAGTTGTTACATTTCTAACATAAGCTTGAGTTTATTTTATTTGCTTTCTATACAGTAGAGTAATGAGCACATGTCTGGCAGCTGAAGGAAAGTAAATATAATCTAATTATAGTTCTGTCTATAAAAAAGAAGAAAAACATCCCAAACCAGATTTTAAAAGTAATGCCATATATGCCAAGCATTTCTCCTGGTAGTGTTTACTTTTTCCTTTTTTAGCCTAAAAAGTAATATTTGACGCAGACATAAACGTTATTGTGCACCTTCGTTATCTGCTTCACTGCACAGTCTTCCGCTCTAACTTCAGTGGAAGGTTTTCTCCTAACGCTAAATGCAGAGTCTACCTTTGCCTTTTAAACTTTCACTGAAGTGCCTCTGAAATGGGTTCTTTGTCTTTAATATGGGAGCACTGACTAAAAACAGACTCGGGTTTGTCAACTATCCGTCTTTTACTTTTTTCCTGCAATAATCATTTTGTGCCTCAGTTTACACAGCCTCCATCTTCCTCCCTCGTTTCCCCTTCCCTCCAAGCCATTCATCCTTTTCTCTGTCTCCATTCTTTAGATTTACCTTGAGCTAAACGGCCAGGAGTAAATGATGTGTGGCCGATTAGAGCTCTGAATGATGGAGAGACAGTCTGCCACAGAGGGGGGGAAAGGGATCGGACTGTGGAGGGAAGGATGGAAGGGAGCTGGGAAAGCAGAGGGAGGGAACAGGACAGGGGAAGGAAAGGAGGCACGCAGGGTTAATATGAGTGGAAATGGACAGATGTCCTTGGTTTGAGGACATGATGGAAGAGGACGAGGGAGGAATGCTACAAGCATGCTTAGTGTGGGGGATTGTATTTGAGTCAATGAGTCGATGCAATCAACTGGTTTTCCTTAGATAGAAAACTTTGTATCAATTTGACTGTATGATCTGGTTGAACTGTAAAGTGCCTTGAGATGACATGTGTTGTGAATTTGGCGCTATATAAATAAACTGAATTGAATTGAATTGAATGGAGCGGGAGAGATAGACAGAGGAGAGGGGAGTCGTCCCTTCCCTGTCCCCGTGACAGATGATTAACTAACCTTGTCAAATCTGGATAAAGTGTGTGTCTGTGTGAGTGTGTGCAGGGCGTTCGTGTCCTTTCTCTCTGACTGGATCATTCACTTTGTCCCGCACACTCACAAAATCAAGCCGCTCACGGTGACCTTAACAGCTGCGGTCGACAACCACATGGTGTTTCCGTTTGGACATTCAAATCAGATGATAGATTTTAAAAACAGAAACCGTGAATGTTTCTACCACCTCCTGGTTCATTGTGTTTGGCTGCTTCCTCGTCTCATTTTTACTGGAGACACGGCCCAGCTACAGGTACGTTTCTGTAAACATATTTTTCAGGGCAGGCTGTTAGTGTTACAGATGGAAACACGTCTGCACCTGCTAGCAGCGCAGTCGCTTTGGGAAACGCTCATGCCAGCGCTCAGCGGCTGTTTGGCTGCATCCATCCCACAGAAATCTGAGCAACAGTGGATTACCTCTGCATCAAAACAAGATATTTCCATACAAGATAACATAAAAAAATAAAGACTGTGTGTCTGTAAGGATTATCAAGGTTATGTTCAATTCCTAAATATTCAAATAATGAAGTTATTTTTTGTTCATTTCTCCAAAGTCTGAAGTTCACATAAACTAAGATCCTTATCAACTAAAGGTTTGAGTTTTTAAAAATAAAAGCAGATAAAAACAAAGTTTCCCAATGAAATATAGCAAGAAAAAAGAGAAGTTTACTAAAATAAAATGGTAGAATTATAAAAGCTTTACTGAACAAAAACGCTAAATAAAAAAAAATTTGCAAAATGATCAGGCTTAAAGAAGAAAAGTCCTTATGAAACTATTCTATTATGCTATTCTTTACTGAAGTAAAGAATAGCATAAAAAAGTTAAATCACACCTTCAGATAACACAGCTTGAAACCCACATTAGGCCACAATGTAGTAATGGACTATGCCTAATTCATGTTTTCATCTTTTGTAGAATTGATAACTGTATCTTCATGGATCAGCCTAAATAGTGGATCGGACAGCTGCAGCTGATCCAGAATGCTGCTGCCTGGGTCTTCACTTAAACTAAGAAGGCAGAGAACATCCACCCAGTTCCAAAGTCCTTCCACTGGCTCTCACAAAATACCCTTATCTCACAAAATAGATTTTAAAATTCACCTTTTATTCTATAAATGGCTGAATTTCTAAGCTCCAAAATAAATTAAAGATTGTTGTTAGCAGATTAAGCTCTCAGAGCTTTCTGCTCAAATCTATTCAGCACACCCAGAACCAGAACTAACTATGGAGAACCCGTGTTTAGTTCCACTATCTGAAATAAACTCCCAGAAAACTGAAAAAAAAAAAATAATAATAATATTTGTTCAATTGTTTACAATTGGGATCTTAACATTATTAGTTACGTTTCCTGTCCAAATTTTCCCATTTTTATCAACCATCCCATCCTTTTGGTTCATATAATCCTCCTATTAACTTTGATTCTTTAAAATTATTTCTGCTCTGTGTCACCTCAATGTACTTTTTCTATTTTTCTCGTGTGCATCACTTTGAATTGTCTTTCCACTGAATTAGGCTAAATACAGAAACTTGGGGAAATAAACATGTTGGATATTCCCTTAGATTGAGGGCAGAGGCTTCCTGACATCATGACATCACTCTAAGCAGAATAGATCACCCTCCACACCGTGCACCGCCGATTATCTGATCAGATTAATATTTGACAAACCACAGTGTCTTAGAATGGGATGATCAGGGGTTATATTGGTACTTTTTTAAAATTGAAGTCAAAAATAAATAGATAAATCCAAGGACCCCAGATGCCCCCTACACCCCCCTTTTCTTAGTACTGCAATGCAATGGACTACTGAGACAAGGCTCACATGTTTCAGATCTTAAAGCTGATTCATATCCAAAATGTTTGTAAAGAGCACACACCAAACGTCTGGGATTTCTGGATGTATGACTTTGGAGTTTTATTCCAGCCTGACGGGTAGAGGCTGCAGCAGCTTGTAACAATAAAAACAAAAGCCTGTAACAGTCTGTCACAAAGCTTTCATCTGAAATCCCTGAGCAGAGGTGTTAAACCTGGAGATGGCTGCTGGCTTTTATTAAAGGAACACTGTAAAATGGAGGGAGAGAGATCATTTGAATTGTTTGTGTGAAGGTAGAAGCCATATTTATACATGCTGCTATGTGACTCTTATTATGGATGCGTTTAAAGACTTCAAGTAAAGGTAGGAACCCCTGGACTGTTATTGGGAATCATTCATATCCGTATTTAGTTTCTAAAGCACAGTTCTCTGCTGGATTTCTTAATGAATTGGGGGTGGGGTTGCTCATTAGAAGGTGGACATTTATCGTATCGCTCATCATTATCGTGATACTAACAAAAACTAACAAACAATCCACTGCACTTTGTTCTGAGTTTGAAGACGTTTCTCTTCCATCCAGGAAGCTTTTTCAATTCAAAATGTCAGGAATAGCATTGAGTTCCAGGCTTTATACAGCAGCCAAACAAAGCCTTGTTTTTGTTTAGAAAACATGCAAATTGGAACAGAAGAAGGGGTCCATCCCTTTGGAATGGGGGTCGTTTGGCTTCTTTTGTTAGGCTGCAATGCCCCATACCCGTCTAAGTGTCTGAAAAGTCAGTGTTTAAAGGGGATTGTTGGACTGGCTGAATAGACGAGGTCCTGCACTCTCCTGCGCAGCCCCAACCCCAGCACTTTTTTTGTTTGAATGACTATGACCTGAATGACTGAGAACCTTCACCAGCATTATCGCAATACATTTCTAGTTATGATAACGATTTTGATTTTTCGTCTTAAAAAAAAAAATCAGACTTAGTGATGTTGGAATGAATTTGATTCCTTCATCTTTTTCATTATTTCATTTAGAACAAAGGTCACAGATTAGCGGACCTTGGTCCGGATCCGGACCCACCTGCTGGCAAATCCGGAGCCAACCTGATTTTAAACATTTAT